TGCTGTTTATTTCAAATTCTTTAAGTTCTTAAGCTTGTAATTCATTTTTCTTTTGTTCAGAATTGAAGATAAACTCATCCGATGCAATCTTTTCAAACCTGTCATTTTGAAGGTCTCTAATAGCTTAGAAGTCATTAAAGGGCAATTTCTGAAAGTGATTAGAAAGCGAGGCTTAAGAACTTAGTGTCCTTTAAAAGTCTCTGCTACGGTTGCGAGCAAGATCCTGTTGTATCCTGGTGCTCAAACCTGCAGAAAACCGCTGTCCTGCAGTTTCCTTGCAAGAAGCAGCCATCTGGAGTACATGTAGATGATCTCCTGTCCTCTCCTTATTTGGAGAGGTTCCAAGGACCGGTCTACTCACTGGTTCCTTGGTCTTTGCCATGATTGTCACCTCCCCTTTTGCAGAGCCATGTTCAGTTCACCATACCTCCCCTGGAAGTCCTCTATGTTTGTGTGCGTGAAATAGCAGTCTAATAATATTTAAGTAGCAAGTACATATTTTCTGATATGCGTCTGAAACACCAACTGTTCTAAAACTCTGGAAGGAGATTAAGATAGCCCAAGAGTTGATTTTGAAAGTAAGGAAAGGGAAATAATTAGAACTCTGTCTCTGGTGCATATGTAGGCTCCCTTACCAGAAGGACTATATTGACCAGAACAACAACACAATTCAGATGAAACAGTAAAATAATTCACAAAAGGATTCTAATCCTAATCTAGCTCCACTATTCTTCCGGCTATTTTCTTCTGATTCTACAACCCTTCTCCAAGTTTGGGTAGTTTTCTTAGCTGGCTGATGCTAGGACATTTTTTTAATAGTCCCTTGAACTGGAATTAAGCTACTACATGTACAGTAGCAGCAGGTGGTTGGCTTTTGTGCAAAAGGAAACTTCCTTTCTACAAAATAATCTGTGATAATTACTGCAGTTTAACTTAATGCTTCTACTAGGTTTTATGGAATAAAACCTTCAATAAAACCTTTCTTCAAACATGATGAGATGCTTTCGTCTTAAAAACACTTGAAGGTGATTTGGGCCATAGCTTCCACGCAAGAATTTCATAGCAACAGCTCAATGCTAGCATATTTTAACATAATGGGTAGTTGTTTCATAATGTGGGAATGCAGAGATTTTTTTTTTTCCAGAACACTGAATCAGAGTAAAAAATTAGGCAGAGTTATGCAGGGAAGTTGGCCCAGCAACCTCCTGGCATGGTCAGCCTTTCAACTGAAGGCACCTCCTTAAATTTATGAAGTTGTGCCCACTGTAAGCATGTATGTAAGATTAACACTGTGAGTCACTGGCAGAGTATCTTGGGATATGCTGGATGAAAATTAAATGAGCATGCCAAAGGCTTTGGAATTCTGGAGAAGTTAACAAAGTAAAGTGAGTTTAAGTAAATAAACTATTTTAGATGTTTGACTTCTGTTAAAACAACAATATACAATGTAAGAAATTATTTAAACATTATTATCCAAGGAATAATGAAGCCAACTGTTGAATTAATTCCCTGTAAAATCTCCCAATCAGTATTCTTAATTTATGACTTTTTCATTATTTTACCAAGAAATTCATGATCGTGTTTTGAAATCAGTCTTGACTTGAACCCACTGAGGACAGTTTAAAATGATGGCTAGTTCATAGAGCCAGCTGTAGTAGATTCCAGGTGGTTGTGGAAAACCTTACTCTTTTCTGATTGCATGAAATGACTTTGATTTATATTATAAGCTCCTCTTCCTTGATGGCTTTGAATTGCAAACCACTGAAATAGAAAAAAATAACAACTGGAACCACAATCCCATTTCCTTGTGTATTTGGAAGTAATTTCCACAGATTCCAGTGCAACTGCCTTCCAAGTCAGACAGCTTACAGCTACAGCAAATGAGTTTTTGTTTCACATTATTTAGAGATTAGTAGTACTGCAGTAGGTTTCTTTAAGGTCATTGACCAATCAGATGTAGCATACACAAATACAACAAAAATAATGCACCAACATTAAAGAGAATAAAATCAGAAATAGAAATAGTTGAATCACTAAAAGAAGCTATCTGTTAATAAGATATAGAGGGATTAAGTCAGGCTGTACAAGTTTTCATAACTGGGCTCTAAACCACAAATCTGGACATTGTTTATTATTGTTATTTCAACATGCAGCAGTGGTCTGGTTAGAAATTTGAATCATTTTAAATATCTGGTAGGTACTGCAGTATATTAGATAGAACCTGAGTACATACCCATGTTCAGTGGTTGGTACTCCACTATGTTAGATAGGACCTGAGTACATACCCTCATGGCTGCTAAGCAAAATTTGGCAACTGAACATGTAACATGGATCTAACAGTCTGCCAGGAGAAATGAGATATATATCTCATCTTCTCTGCTTAGAAGAGTCATTAAAGCAGTTCAGTCTTTAAAAGAATGACAGTATCATCAGCATAAAGGAAGATGGAAATAGGCTTACTGTCTAGCTTTTGAGGTTGAAAGAGAGAACCTACAGTATACTATAGAATTAATATACACATAGAATAAAATACAGAATTTTATAGAATAATATATAGAATTAATATAAACATTAAATAAAAATGAGACAAGGATATACCCATGTGATTTTCTTTAGAGTAGGGGTAGTGCAGAAATCCCTCCGCTGGCAGCACATTTAAGAGTTCGCATGGATCATTCATGTTTAGCTGAATGAAACACGTGGCTGCCCTTCTCCCTCATAACCCCTCTGAAGGTCACTGAAGGCTGCAGAGAAGATTCCTTGCAAATAACTAGAGTATTTTTCTGCCTAGTGATACTACATTGATCAAACATTGATCCATCAAGCCTAAATTCAGTTTGCTCATCAGCTAGCACCTTGGATTTTGCAACTGGCAAGTTTCTCATAAAGGTGTCTATCAGACATTTTACTTATAATGCTTAATAAACTGTTTGGATGAAAATTAAACTGGTTGGACTTTATTATCTTTTTTAAAAATTGGGATTGGTATAGACTTCACTGTTTGGACTTCTGTAAGGAATAGTCAATATGGTGAATAAGGAGGCCACCATTCAAACTGATTTTAGGAGTTCTGCATAAATCAAATCCATCTTGACTCTCAGCAGTTTTAGAATTTCTCAGTTGTGTAATAGGTTTGAAATTCTCCAAAGTGGTGAAAGGGGGTTAGTCAGGGAAAGGCTCAGAAACTACCACACACAGGCCCAGTTCATGCGCTGTTATAGTAAATTGTTCATGGAAGTGGTTGACCTATATCTCTGGTGGAATTGGACTCCCAGACACATTTAGGTTTTAGTAGAGTTGGCAACAAGATGCCAGAAGACAACTGAGGTTTTTTTTCTCCTGGGTTTCTCATATAAACCTTTCCCACTTGGCTTTTTGCTACTTCACTTTCTTATTTTTTGGAACAGCCTTATCCTCTTTTTTTAAAATGCAAAGAACATCCACATGCATCAGTTAATGTAGCTTCAGCTATCACATAATATTCATCAAACCAAGATCTCAGAAACTTGGGACTGAGTTTCCAACCAGGAATAACACTAATACTAGAAATTCCTGCATGAAGATTATTATTTGCTGGTAAATATTTAGGTCTTCATAGACTTCCCAGTGATGAACAACATAAAATCAGCAAAACAACATAAAGTAAATGCAGGATAAAGAGCAAAGTCTAAGGAAACAAAAATATCAGATAGTAATAATTTATGCATAACAGTGGTATTTAAAAATACCACTGACATCTTAAAAATTAAATCATATCAGCCAATTTTTTTTAAAGTGCCTCAGAGAATATGGAATTAGGACATCTGAAGGAAAGAGTTACAAAGACTTGATGCCACTATCAAGAAAGACCTGTTCCTAACTTACCTTCATTCAGCAATGATGTTCCTAGCATAGCTTCAGATATTGAACAGAATGTGCATAGAGAGCAAATTTGAAAGGAAAAAAAATAGCTTTGGGATAAAGCTGAAGTGACTGGGAACTGTAAGATGTAGAAGATAAGAATGTGCTCATTGAAATCCCAAGGTAAAAACCTGATCTGTTGTGGATTTAAGATGTTATTCTCAAACCTTTATCTTCTCTCACCCTATGGAGTAAAAAAAAAAAAAGGATAATAATACTATTTTATTCAACACAACAGTTGTGTTCAGAACACTTTGAAAACCATTTGTAGGTACCTAAATGACAGTTCCTGGGGTAAGGAATTTTTGTTAATTTACCAGATGGACTTTACGTTTGTTCTAGCAATGCAGATGCCTGGATTCCTATTTGACTCATTTCTCAATGACTGCCTGATGAACTGCAAGATGTGCCCTTAGTCACCAATGAATATATAAATCATTCAACATCAAAGGCATCACTAGGGCAGGACCACCAGGCAAAGGTCCAGGGTCCAACATTTTGGAGGACCTCCACATTCACACACCAGGGCACATAAATTTTAAAGGTTTTCCGCTTACAACCCTTTTCTCTCTCTCTCTCTCTCTCTCTCCTTATTTTCTTTCACAAATTCCTCTCCTGCTTACTTGACAAGTAAGAGGGGCTTTTCTTTTCCTTGTTCTCTTTTTAATTTTTTGTTTGTTTTAAACAAGGTTTATCATATTATAAAGAGCACTGTAGTCACATCAAACACCTTAATTTCTCTATAGGGCCTCTAGGAAAAGCCACATATGCCCAGATGCCCCCTGGGAAATTAAGATGTCAGGCAGAGCTGTTGTGCTCTACACGGTGCCTACTTATTCTAAAAGAGAGAAGAAAAAGTAGGACTATGAAACCAGCTGTTTTGCCCAGTAAGAAAGCAGGAGTCTGGTAGAGTGAAAGAGGAAAGATAGAGAACAAAGCTGCAGAGAGGTTGGGAAAGAAGCAGAAATAAAGGGTGAAGGGATGTAAGACAAGAGAGAAGAGGAAATATATATTATAGAAGTTAGAGAAACTTGAGGGGGGATAAGTCCCCAAGGGAGGACCCCAGAAGACATTTTGCAAACAGCTTCTTAATTACATACCACTATTCAAATAGGCATATTACAAATAGGGACAATTCAATGCACCAGAAAGGACCCCCCCTCATCAATTCAACCGAATCCTCTTTTCTCCCACCCTGCCTACGCTTACAGATAGAGCGGCACATAGACAGCAAAGTGACTGAATAGCATCTCTGTGTATATTCCACTTTGCCACTGTCCCCTT